GGGAAGATGGATGGAGCCAAATACAGGACCATTCTGGAAGGAAACCTGATGGAGTCTGCAAAAGACCTGAGACTGGGACGGAGCTTTGTCTTCCAACAAGACAATGATCCAAAACATAAAGCAAAATCTACAATGGAATGGTTCACAAATACACATATCCAGGTGTTAGAATGGCCAAGTCAAAGTCCAGACCTGAATCCAATTGAGAATCTGTGGAAAGAACTGAAAACTGCTGTTCACAAACGCTCTCCATCCAACCTCACTGAGCTTGAGCTGTTTTGCAAGGAGGAATGGGCAAAAATTTCAGTCTCTTGATGTGCAAAACTGTTAGAGACATACCCCAAGCGACTTACAGCTGTAATCGCAGCAAAAGGTGGCGCTACAAAGTATTAACTTAAGGGGGCTGAATAATTTTGCACGCCCAATTATTCAGTTTTTTATTTGTTAAAAAAAGTTTGAAATATCCAATAAATTTCGTTCCACTTCATGATTGTGTCCCACTTGTTGTCGATTCTTCACAAAAAATTAGTTTTATATCTTTATGTTTGAAGCCTGAAATGTGGCAAAAGGTAGCAAAGTTCAAGGGGGCCGAATACTTTCGCAAGGCACTGTATCTGTTCCAGAGCATATGAGTGGAGTGGAGCGGTGAGAGTTTCCATTCCTTGTTCACGGAGCTGTACACCTGCTCCATTCCTCTGCTCCACTCCCCCACTCACAGCCACAGCAGGCCTCTCCTCTCATTATCACTCAGTGCTCAACTCAGACTGCACCCCGCTCCACTACTAGAAATTATTTCAGATTACAGTTAGTCCTATGTAACAAGGAATATAACACAAAAAGTTCTTTGTAAAATTCAATGAGTCAATGGGCCTAATTAAATAAACATATACAGTATGGCCATTCAATTCCCTTTTTAACGGACTTTAGGAACTCAATTTTTGAGCTTGCAATGGCCGACTGAAAAGTGTTGGATGACTGTAAAAGACACAGATGCATTCCTGGTCAGGCTTGAGCATGCTTTTAGCTTGTGGTGTGATCAGTACCTGAGCAAAATTGGAGCAGGACATGGGGCAACACGTCCTCATTAAAAAAGGTCTGCACTCCGTCCAAAACCCCTTCGCTCACATGCTCTGTTCTGTTCGTTTGTCATGTGGGAGCAACATTAAAAGTGGTAGTATGCAATTTTTATATATTGGTGCCCCCAACTGGCCAAAACAGCAACTGATTGAAACAATTTGACTGAACAGTCCTGATCAGTCTTCTCCACTGCATCCTCACTGATGATGAGTCTGATAGGGATACTTGTATTTTCACAATAAAATCTTCATTAATGCAGATTTAGCTTTTCAATTTCTTATCCTTGGCAACAATTCCAGGATGCAACGTGCGCTGAAGCGCTACAGGATACAAACTGATCTACCATGTACTGTTATTGTGATGCATTTTGCTTAGTACTCTAAAAATAAAACAAAAGTCATCTGAGGTAGAAATGTATGCAATTGAGTTTTACTGAGATTGTAAGCTATCCAAACATAATGTACTATATATGGCTTGAATGGCAGTTTCACATATTGACTTCAGTCTCTGTTCCTGTCATTAATTCCTGCAGTGCCAAGCATTCATGCTATCGTAAAAGATGCTAAAGTACAATTACTCTCTAATTGCAAAACTATGCTTACTATATTATACTGGTGTCAAAAAATGTCCCCATATGAACAAACTCCAATATTCACTTTTCTTTCAGCAGCTCCTGAAGGAAAGTGCTGCACTGTGTTCACTGGCTACTAATTAATTACTAATCTTTCTCCATCTACCTCTTGGTACCATGAAGATAGTAAATAAAGCTTTTGGTGTCAGCAGCTGCCTGCTGCTCTAAGTTACTCTTGTGGGAATGTTGATGAGAGTCATCAGAGTGAGCCAAAACAGTACAGTTGTGGGACAAAGAAATAAAACAAAGTAAAAGGTGCTCTGAGGGGATCTACAGAGTTCACTGATACAGTCCTTCTATATGGGTTCATCACTACAAGTGGTTCCTTTCAGATTGCACACAGTCATTTGTTCCACTGTTACTATAAAAAAAATATTGATTAGCTTTATGATAATCATACTAACTGTTTCTCCTCTCTGTTTCCCCTCCAGAGAAGAAAGACACTGTGCTCCGGCAAGTGCGTCTGGACCCATGCGACCTACAGCCTATCTTTGACGACATGCTGCATATCCTGAATCCAGATGAGCTACATGTTATTGAGGAGATTCCGGCCGCAGAGGACAAGCTGGACCAGCTTTTTGAGATTGCAGGAGTCAAGAGTCAGGAGGCCAGCCAGACGCTATTGGACTCTGTCTACAGCCACCTCCCTGACCTGTTATAGTGGAGGAAGAAGGAAGAAACCACACAGAGAAGACCTAGATTTAAAAAGAATATCTGAGTGGGATGGGATGAGCCAGATGTGGTATTGCTCAGATTACACTTCGTCTGATATTTCATATTACTGAGTTTGAATCATTGTATTATTTTATCACATGATATGAACACTGGTATCTTCACTGATACTTAACTACTCTTTACCCCAATATCATCCTCTGTTATGTGTGTACACACCATCACTCCTTCAAAACACTTTTTACCTATCTTCTACCATGATGAAGAGTCAATAGTCAATGCATTGAAAACATTCTATGTGTTCAGGCAAGGAGTGTTTTCACTTTACATATATACATGTTCAGCCTTGTTGGTATCCCGCAAGTTTTATGACATTAACAGTGAGACTTAACAGTCCCCAAACTTTATCTTAACTGGCCAATGCTTTCATCTTCAAGAGATATCAATGCTTTTTGTTGGCTGTGCCAATCATTCAGAATCAATCAACTAGAAAAAAAGGCCCAAACGTTATATGCCTAAACTTGCTAAATATCCTTTTTCTCTCCTCATGAGCCCTATTGTTTCGCGTCTACCTCCTCCAGCTTCCTGTACCTGGAGCAGATCATCTGTGGGTGCTAGCATTTTGGCTTGTAACTGCTCTGCCAGACCATCAGGTGTCAGCATTAGATTTGACATCTGACCTGCTGTTCTGGAACCCAAAGCTATATATCAAATGTACTGGATTAAATGTCAAAATAATATTACAATAATGTAGTAATACATTATCCAATATAATTATGCAAGACTTTATAGTGAATTTGTGTAAGAAGGCCCCAAAGTGACTTAAAGTGAACAGTAATGATACAGTACAGTATGTGCTGCCCCAGCCTGCCTCTCTATAACCAAAGCCAAATATCTGAAACTGTTTAGATATGTTGCTTTGGCACTGATGGACTTGTGGACACAATGAATACTTCTGCCAGTACGTACATTCAGCTCTTTGCTAAATAGCCCTGTTTGTCTCAACACATGTAACACTGATAAAGTGTTGGTGTCTGAGCATTTCAGTGCTGTAATACAAATAACTGTGTACAAGTGTTTTTTTTTCACTGCTTTATGATGTTAAATGTACTATATAGTTGAAATTAAAATGTAATGATACACCAATTCACTTTTCCATTAGAGACACAGCCATATTTTCTGCTCCCCATTTTCTCTTTCTTTAATTCTGAAATGCTGATAATTTGTAATGTTTTCTACATCAAGTTTATTATATTATTTTAGCACCTCTTTTTTTAGCATTTTGACTTATTTGTATCATGTTTTTCTGGGCATTCAGATGTATTCCCTCCCCACCTGGTATTATAGGATGCCCTGGCTGGGATGATAATGATGATTATAATCAATTTATTTGGCCATGTTACACACACAAGGAATTTGTCTCCGGCAGCCATCTGCAGCATCAACACACACACACACACGGGTGGTGGCTCTGGCTCTGCAGGGCACTGCTCTGGCCATCAGGGGCCATTTGGGGTTCAGTGTCGCGCCCAAGTACATGTCAATATGTGGACTGTAGGCATCAAAAATTGAACTTACAACCTCCGACTTGGGACACAACTGCTCTACCTGTGAGTTACAGCTTCCCCAATGTAAGGTATTATATACTCCATACTCTACTTGAAGTCTGTCTACTTGTGTTGATTTCGCTGATGAAGGAATAATGTCCTTTTTCAGTTCCCTCCATGTTCAGCATTGTTAAAAGAAGAATACAGCTGAAAGGCACCACCAAAAACTCACCAGTCTTTAACAGATGGTTTCACATCTGTCACAAGCAGCAAAGGAGGAATTTTGACAAAGCCAGGTACTATCCATGCTACTGTGGTGCTAGATGTGAACTCTCAGCAGTTGACCTGACACAAAGGGATGTAACCCCAGACTAATGACTATTTAAAGTATTCCAGACTGAGTGAAGCATGAAGGCTGATGTGGACTGTGGATTGTTGATGTTAATGATGATGTGTGTTTGTTCTGTCCTGTGCTCTAGAATCTCAAACAGCAGAGTGGGAGCATTTTATTTTCTAAGGACTTTGGAGCAGATGAGATGTGAAACACAAATGTAGCACGAGTGGGTGATTTAATCAAATGTCACTCTTGTAACCAGTATGTTTACTACTATATAATCTCCTCAAATCAACCAATAAAACTCAAAACATTTGTCATAATACTATGTGTTTGTCACTTAGGTTAGTATTTGATTTAAAAAAACCTACACCAAGTCTGGGCTTTTTAAAATTTGTTTTGTTTGTATCTCAGAGGGAATAAGAACACCGCATCTGTCAAACTCAGTGATTTATGACAGCTGTCAAAAAGGTTATGACGCTAACCCCCCGCCCCTTTTGCACAACATACACCTATGTTGTAAAGCTTTATGATTTTATTGCATCCCTACTTCACAATGTTCGTGCAAGTTTATGTCAAAGGTCAAAGTGTTTATTGTCATATGTAAAGTAAGGAAGCACGTTTCCCTGCACAATGAAATTCTTGCTTTGCTGTCCACAATGAATCCTGAACAATATGAATCTAAAATAGTAGTATATACAATATCAAATAAAAAAAGCTGTGAAAAGTTATAATAAAAGTATAAGAATAATAATGAGAATAATGCTACATCAAAAAAGTATGTGCAACATTTGGAAATGAATGTGCAATTGTGCATGTGCCAACACAGTGGAATACAAGGACCACGTCAAAGTGTTAAAACACTGGAATACCAGGAGCAGGAGAGGCAGAAGTCCCAATATAGTCGAATGCCAGGACCACAGCAGGGTACCAGACAAGGATGCCCACTCTCACCATCTCTGTTCGCCATTTTCATCGAACCTCTAGCAGCAGCTATACGACAGAACAATATCTTCTTCTTCTTTCGGCTGTTCCCGTTAGGGGTCGCCACAGCGAATCATCTGTTTCCACCTAATTCTATCCTTGGCATTGTCTACTCTCACACCAATTAACTTCATGTCCTCTTTTAGCACATCCATATATCTCCTCTTTGGCCTTCCTCTTGGCCTCTTGCCTGGCAGCTCCATCTCCAACATCCTTCTACCAATATAACCACTATCCCTCCTCTGCACACATCCAAACCATCTCAATCTGGCCTCTCTGACCTTGTCCCCAAAACAGCCGACCTGAGCTGTCCCTCTGATGTGCTCATTCCTAATCCTGTCCATCCTGGTCACTCCTAAAGAGAACCTCAACATCTTCATCTCTGCTACCTCCATCTGTGCCTCTTTTCCTCACTGCTACAGTCTCTAACCCATACAGCATAGCT